CATTCAAAGCAAAGTATGCTCTGTGTTGATTTTGGTTAGGAAACCTCTTCCCTTCTCTCTCCTCTTTCAGACAGTGAGCTATTTTTCATTTACAATTGAACCATAGGTCAAATGTCCTTCCAGCTTAACCATATGGAATAAAATTTATTTGAAAGTGTTAGGTTTTTCAGAATCAGAGTTTAGTTATTAATTTGCAATGGATATTTAATAGGAACAAAAAATCTGCCAACGTTATGATCAGCTCATGGAGGCATGGGAGAAAAAGGTGGACAGAATAGAAAATAATCCTCGGAGGAAAGCTAAGGAAAGCAAAACAAGGGAGTACTATGAAAAGCAGTTTCCAGAAATTCGAAAACAAAGAGAACAGCAAGAAAGATTTCAGCGGTGAGTAGTTCAATGTTTAACAGTTGTGATGTTTTCCTTGAAATCACATTTTTGTTGTTTCATGTTATTATTTCTTGAATGAGATAAATAAGATAGTTCATAAAGAACTTTTTATTCAATATGGGATTTCATTATCAACCAGTAAAGATTATATCTTCATATTTATTGTTAATCCTTGATTTCAATCAAAGCATAAATGAATATTTTGAATTTAATTTTTTAGTTCTTGACAAAGAATTGCTTTGGAAATGGATCGTCTGGATTGTCCCTAATTAGCATATTCAAAAGTACTGAATTGATTACCAGTTAATTAATATTTTTGGTTTTGGTATGTATGGTATGACAGTTGCTGATTCATTTTTACTTTTAGAGAACAAATGTTTTGTACATATAGTTATGCATTATTTTATTTTACTTTTAAATGTAGTTGGTACCTGGTCTCACTATGCAGCTTGGACTCGTAGTGATCCTCCTGTTTTCAGCCTTCCCAGCACCGGCATTATAGTCATGCCTGGTCTTGGTGGCTGGCTCATTGTGCCTGCCCAGAGGCAGGGCTGACATGGCATGTGGTGCAGGGGATCAAACCCTGGTCCCTGCACTTGCCTAAGGAGGCGCTTGGTCTGCTGAGCTATCTTGTCAGCCCTTTGCACATATCTTAAAAATTTTATTTTTCCTCTCCGTTGTTTCATATAAAAGTTATATGCCCCTTTATTCACAGTTAAGATTTTGTGAGGTATACTGGATGTATTTTTCCCTTGTTTTTAAAATACTTGGAGGTTTTTTTTTTTTTTTTTTTTTTTT